TCGATTATTAGGGTGTTCGCAGCGAACACCTTAGTGATTGATTCTTTACCATAGCTTCAAATGGCGAGATATCGATAATCGATCATTCACGCCACGCCACTGATCTCCACCCTCCGTTTGCTCTTTTTCTCTATCCAACTTCCTCCCGAAGAGACCACGCGGTCGAGGGGCGGGTAGAAAACCAAGGACGCGCGAATTTCTATCAATCCAATTAGCCTGTATGGCGCCCCTTCATTCGCTGCCGATGCAACCGGCATGCACCCGAGTGCCCCTTCATCGGGGAGGATGCAACCGGCGACGCCGGAGGGTGAAATTATTCAAAATTAGCCCCGCGTCTGGCGGGACGCAGGAAGAAGTCTTGAAGAGGGAGGATACTTCGGAAATTATAAGATCCGGCCTGCAATGAGATTTATTGCCGGATTAAGTGGCCTCTATTTTCCGTGGTTGCCGTTTTGGTATTGTATGATTGAATAAAAGACCAAGAGAAAACTATGAAATGGGGTTGGAGTTACTCGGAAAGGAATCTAAGGAGCCTTCGACAGGAACCAACCACGCAGAGATCAATGTATTCTGTAACTTATTTTTCATTTTTTTTAGACGGATCGCAACAGATATAACCATGATTGACATTTCGAGGCTGGTCTACGAAAATCGTAATGTAATCGATGCCTGGTTGAATTTTGTCTCGATTCTTAAATTCGATAAAATCTTAACATTTAAAGTGTCTGAAAGCTATTCCTGAAGGGAATATTTCTTCGTAGAGTGAAGCACCTATCTTTTTTTCAGACATGACGTTTAGAAATTGGATGCCATCAAAGGCTGTAATTCAAGTGGACTGCATTTTGCAATTTGGAACTATAAATTCTGGCTCATCTGAAAAAACACTTATGTGCATAGGGAAACTAATGGCACATATAAGGACTTATCTGTAACAGTAGCGGATGTCGAGTTTTCACATTGCGAGAAAATCGCGTTTGAAGTTTTTAAAGCTTTGCACTTTTCCGCCCGTAGAACCGAGGGGATTCTAATAAAGATTTTCATGAAGAGCAACTCTTCCGGTAAAAAACACACGTTTTACGATGTATGCCCTAGTAGCAGAACAAATTTTTGTTTTTCTAAAAAAAGTATAAAAAAAACATATCTGTTATCTAAATGATCGTTTTATATAAAAAAGGTGTAACGCTTATATAAAAAAAAATCAAAGTTCAGACCTGACCGTAATACATGAAAAATGGTAAAAGCTAGATACGGTAATTTTTTTTTATACACACATTTTTTATTTTTTTATATAACGCATGCATACGAAAGTGTTAAAAGTGAACATTTTTATGTAACCATTATATAAAAAAATAGGTCATCATTTTCGTGAGATTTTTGGGAATTAGAAGAATTTTTAATATGTTCGCGAAAAACTCAGGAAAATTATAACATTTTTTTATATAATGGTTACATAAAAATGTTCACTTTCAACACTTTTATATGCATACATTATATAAAAAAAATTAACTTTCGTACATAATATTTATCTTTTCCTTCTATGGTTCTGCTACTAGGGTGTAAGTGAAAAATTGAAGGGGTAACAGCGATTTGAAAAAAAATGTGACATCCGCTGTTTTTACTGCAAACACTTTTTTTATGCATGAAACAAAGTTTTCAGGAAGGGTAAGGCCGGTGAAACGCTTGAAATGAACCAAAAGTAAGTCAATGCTGATTCATTTAACAAAATTGAACAAGAAACTAAACCGTTTGTAACTTTTACAACAAAAACTAGGAACAAATTCTAAAATCAGTTAAAAATTCAATAATTCTGGCGAGACGGTCCCGATACGTATAATTCGAGATGTTTTTCAGTTCATATCTCGCCGAAAAATTGTGCTCGAAGTCTGAAACTTTGCACAGGCATTCTTGGAGGCTCTAGATTTCGAAAAAAGCGTTTGCCCTAAGAATGACGGATGTCAGCGACCGCCATTGTTACATATATGTCCTCATATCGACGGTGAAACTACCAACCACGTATCTCGTTTGCGGTGTTTAAAAATCTACGCTCGCATTTTATTTTTTTGAAGTAGACCAAATCAATATCATTCCTTGAAATTTTCACAGAATTTTCTCCGCACGAAGAGGAAAAATCACAGAAATTTTCAAGACTGGACGTTAAGTAGTTTTTCATTTAAAAAATAAAGTATGACAGGAAGTCTGCGACGTCGCAAACCGAGATACGTGGTTTGGTAGTTTCACCGTCGATATGTTGTTTTTAAACCGGGCCAGAATTTATAGTTCCTAATTGCAAAATGCAGTCCAAATAGCGTTCCCAGGCTTCCGAATTAATTTAACATTTAACCAAGGAGATAAATCGTGTTTTTACGAAACTGCAGGTCAAAAATCCCCGACGTGAGTACGCTCTTAATAACTTCTCTAGGGTCAGGCATCAACTCGAAAAACATATTTGCCAACTTTCACTTGATTTACATGCACGTTGCATCACGCCTAACGGGAAAATGTTCGAGCAACAGACGGCAACGCTGTTGTCAAGTGGCCGAATTCAATTTATTAACAGCCGCTAGCCTTTAGATTCAATCAGTGTGCATAACTGCTTCATTAGCCCTCGATCCCTTTCGCAGCACCCTGCACTACACCCTCCGAAACCCTCGTCCCCTTTCATCTCTTCGAGTGTTTATTGGAACTGATTTCGTTTGAAAACCGAGGCTTCGGTGAAATGCTACCAGCTATTTTCTATAAAGCATGATACGAGTGCGTTTTTTAGATCCCTTTTCTGTAATTTCGATTTTAAATTCGTTCCCGATCAAGTGGGCATTTCCTACAACGCTTCGATACTCGATCGATCAACTGAATATTTTTGCGTTTTAGGATTTTTTGTTTAAAAAATCCTCGGAAGTCACATCACGCTGTAGTTAGTATTTGTATGTCAGGTATTCGCACAAAATATTTGACGGAGAAACAATCGTGTCGGACCGACCCACAGACGATCGAGTCAATAGGAGACGTCGGATGAAATTCGGAAAGTTTAAACGCTTATAACTTCGTTAAATCAAAACTTAGAGATTTTATAAATGGCTCCATTGGTTTCCTCGTGAAATTTTCTTCCGGGAGCTTTCCTTAAAATTTAATATGTGACGAAATAAACATCGAAATTCGCAGATTTAGCAAACAATTTCATGTCCGACCTCTCTAATTGACTGGATCCACTGTGCGCCTGCAGAAACAAGAGCCATGGTCGTCAAAAACTCAAAATTTAGTTTTTTGCGCACTTACCACAACAAAAAGCACGAAAGTGTGACTCGGATTCCCAATTTCGGTCACAGGATGAAAGAATATTGGGGAGTCCCCGCACTCAGGCTTGTACTAAGACTTATCATAATTTTTTTTCCTCTTTCTCAAATTCTAATTTTCGATGTTTTTAGCGTTGTGTAAGTGGCTTTTATGTCGCAGATAATCAGCATTCGCCAGCAGTTTGCAAGCGTTATTAATGTTATTTCGACATTGTATTTATTCCTATCGACGTAGAACGTTTTATTGGTAAAGGACTTCAAAAGCACGACCTCGACTTGGTGCGCCTTCAAACTCGAGTGATACTTTTTGCTTTGCCAGGCGGTTAGTTTAGTCGCCTATACAAACCAAACTCAACCGAGAGGCTTGGAGGACATGCGGGACAAGTGTGCTATTTCAAGATGCACGTGTTTTAAGTTTCAAAATTACACGGAGCCTTATGGCGGAAAGAAATTTCAAACTCGATTTTTGATACTTCAAAATTGGATTTTAGTGTTGAATTTTTCACAGATTATATTGCAAGACTAGTCTTGTTGAAATAATTAACATCTCAATTTTTTTCAAAAAGGCGCACTTATCCCACTTGTCTTTCAAGCCCCCCAACTAAGGTCATTAATACCACTACACGCACTAGCGAGTGAGCTAGCTAGTACCATGCATTCAAGAAGAAGCAAAAACTTCTTTTTCAATTTTAATCATAATAATAATTACCTTGTTCCTACTTCCTATATTAACTCTCCACTTTTGAATTTTTACATTTTTATTTATTCAACACAAGAATGGTTTTACGATAACCGGAATAGTTTTGTCGCCGTAACAGACAACACTTTTTTCGGTCACATTTTTAGTATTGATGATAACTCTTCGAATTTTTTTGAATTAATCTACACAGGGTTACGTGTTATAACTCTTTTCAATGATTTATCGCTCTACTTTTCAATTTTAATATAAAAATGGCCGAAAATGTGCTGTCAGTTGCGCTGACTTTTTACCACGTAACAGACAGCACATTTTCGGAATTTACACAATATTAATTGAGAAGTAGAGCAATAAATCATTAGAAAGCGTTCTAATACGCAACCCTTTGAAGATTCATGCGAAAAAATTCGAGTGATTATCATTTCTACCAGAAATATGACCGAAAAATGTGTTGTCTGTTACGGCGACAAATTATTCCAGCTATCTTGAAACCACCCACAAATAGATTGCCATTTGCCAGCGATTGCTAACTGCGTGCGACATATTATAACGTTAGGAATTTCTAGAGTACCTGTATAGGGAGAGTACCGACAGATCGGTTCATGGAGGGCTTAGGGCCCAAAAGTGCAGCCACCCTTCTAACCAACTTCTAACGCACAAAATTTCACTGCCAGTCTGCAGATTCCAATTCTAATCAAGATGGCCAAGAATGTACAGAAATGAGCGTTCTTCCGCGAAATTGAGTAAATTTATGCAAAAACTGAGTCAAACACGTGCTTAATAAAGGACGGTTCGTAACAATAGTATCAGTAAATCGCTCTGGATAATTGAAATTCATAGGTTGGCTGCCCTTTTGGGCCCTAACTTTATTCGCGGAGGCATCGGTGAAGGCCTGATGGACTTTCGGAGTTTCAGATCGGTCGGTACTCTCCCTATACAGGTACTCTAGGAATTTCAGCGCTGTGTTTCAATCAAACGAGGCTTATTGTTTCTTTTTCATTAATTTGTTTCAGCGGAACTTGGCGACTATGACCCCAGACGTCACTCCCCTGGCTACGTGTCCGAATTCCGGTTCGTGGCGAACCAAACGGCCGAATTGGAAACTAAGATCGCTCAAATCCACAAGGAGTTGGTGTAAGTAATCCAGAAACGGATCCAGCAATTTGGCAACACCGGGTTTCCTCCATTTAAACCCATGTTAAGTTATCGAGTCAGCGGGCTGATTATTGAAATTGATAGACATAGCAATAGACAAAGAGGACAAAAAGGATTTGGAGGGATCCTATTGGTGGAAACGGGTTGTTGCAATGGACAAAGGAGGTAGGTAATCGACTAAGTAACGGCAACCCACGAGAAACCCGACAGTTAGTCTATAATTTTCCCCCTTAGTCGATGAGAATCACCCATTTCAACCAATAGAATTGCTTTATACCCCCTATGTCATCTTTGTCTATCGCTTTGTCTATCAGTTTCAATAATCGCCCCGCTGGTCGGAGCACCTGCCCCCCCCCCCGAATCGATACATTTCCATTAATTTAATTGGAGAAAAACAATGTTGCCAATTTGGTGGATCCGCTGATTAAGTAATCTCACGGCTTGAAGTGATTTGTCTCGGGTTCTCTGCGTGGTCGAACTGGCGTGCGATGTATCGCATCCATCAGTTCGAAAATCTTACGTGATTCTTAACTAAATTGACGCTCTTTATCGCGCGCCAGTTCGACTACGCCAAGGATTCAAGACGAATCACCTGTTTATTCAAAACGAAACGTGCAGAATCGAAAAAGCGCGAAGTGTATTTCCCAATTTTCGGAGAACCCAAACATTTTTTTTTTTTTGGCGGAATCAAATTTTTGCGCCGATGTTTGATAACAGCTTAGGACCGCGCTGGGACTAAACCTGATAATTTCGAAAGAAAAATTGCTTTCTTTTGATCCTGAGTTTTTTGACCTTCCTAAAGTCCACCAGTATTTAAGCTTTTGCGACGCTGACTTTTCGATCGCATGAATTCACAATTTTATTTTTGGAAGACATGATGAATGTGCAAGAAAGCGAAATATGAAATTTAAATCAGAAACCTTTGAGTGAATTCATTTTTCTTATCTGCGGGGCGATTATTGAAATTGATGGACAAAGCTATAGACAGAGAAGACATAGGGAGTATGGAGCGATCTTATTGGTGACATGGTTCGTTCTTATAGACTAAGCAAGAAAATGATGGACTAACTATCGGGTCTTTAGTGGGTTGCCGTTAGTTAGTCGATTACCTACCTCCTATGGCCATTGCCACCACCTGCTTCCACCAATAGGATCCCTCCAAATCTCTTTTGTCGTCTATGTCTATAGCTTTGTCTATCAATTTCAATAATCGGCCCGCTGTTCTAGTCAAGTTTGTAGAATTGTCCTCAGATCGGATCGGTTTATATAAAATTGCACCCCCTTTATAAATTGTATGCGTTTGACTATTTCAGAGGCCAGTTACCATGCGAGGCAGAACTCAATTACCTGGATAAAGTCAAGTGGTTAGAAATGTACGGGGTAGATCTTCATCCCGTCTTGGTGAGTCATACCTTATTTTCCTCGCCAAATAAAAACTCAAGATGTTTTATTTTTAAAACAGTGTGTTTCATTTTACATCATTCAAGAAGAAGATGTGGAAAGAAGGGCACGGGTGGATCGACGTGTAAACTTTACGTGTTCAAAAATGGACCACTAGACAAGGTACGAATTTCAGCATTCTAATACATGTTTCTTAGCCAAAATTTCACGTAAAACACGATACGCACAACGAAAATTACCGGAATTAACTCCTTACGAAGATATTTTATAATTCTTGATGCGTAAATTCAAACCATCCGCTCATGAAAACTCAATGCTCAACGTGATTCACATCGCGTGCTAAACGTTATCATGACAGTCTCTGCGATATAAAATTCTGGCAACCTCAATCTTGACGCTTTGGCTCAGCTGTAGCAAATTGCTAATAGTTTGAACAACACATGGTGGGAAATGAACGTTGCTCGATTGAGAGGCTTGCAGAAACCGTTGTAGTGCGCGATTTGACTCACGTAGAGCCTTGAGTTTCTTGTGAGCGGGCAGTTCAAATTCCTCATAACCAATGTGAAATGAAAACGTTAATATCTTTGTTAGGAGTTGGTTTAAGTAATTTTCGTTGTGCGAATCGTGCTCTACGTGAAATTCTGGTTAAGCAACATGTATCAGATTGCTTAAATTCGTACCTTGTCTAGTGGTCCATTCAAACTTTACACGGAAAGGAAAAACCGCTTACCTCACGAACTACGTTTTACATCGTCTCATCGGGAAGGCCATTCAATGTCTCCATGAGTGTTTAGGGTGATACATGGATTTTGCCGTAAGGAACCACTATCTCTGGCGCTTCCTTGAAAGCACCCTCCTGCATAGGGAAACCAATGGCATATATTGACGGTGAAACTACCAAACCACGTATCTCGTTTGCGGTGTTTAAAAATCTACGCTCACATTTTATTTTTTGGAAGTAGACCAAATCAACATCATTCCTTGAAATTTTCTCAGAATTTTCTCCGCGCGAAGAGGAAAAATCACGGAAATTTTCAAGACTGGACGTTAAGTAGCTTTTCATTTAAAAAATAAAGTATGACAGGAAGTCTGCGACGTCGCAAACCAAGATACGTGGTTTGGTAGTTTCACTGTCGATATGTTGTTTCTTAAATGAGCTAGAAATAATAGCTCCTCATTGCAAAATGTGGTCCACATGGCCAAATTTGACAATCTATATATTTAATATCATGAGGCTTTTTTTGTTCTCTTTCGATCTCGGAAACTACTGAACCGATTTTCCTCGGGTTTGTTTCAAACGAAGTTTCTTGACTTGTGGATGTGCCAGCATCCCTTGGTTTTTCGATTTGCGCGACCGATGTTTCAAAATTTACCTCGATTTGATAACGACAAAACAATTTTGCAAAATTTGCCTCTCGCCACAGCGATTGGGTCTAGGAAGCAAAGCCCCCGGCTAGCGGCGCAAGCGAGCGTAGCGAGCTGAAGCAGCTAGTTCTATTTAATTTTCTTGACTTTAATTTTGAACGGGTCAGATTTTTTCTTGGAATGACCTACAAAAGTCATAATTCTTGTCCTGGAACTGCACCGCCATGGCGCAATTTCCTCACCGACGATTGAAGTTTTCCCAAAGTAAAGTCCCCCCCCCCCCCCCAAAAAAAAGAGAGGGGGTAGACTTTTTTCCATGAAGATTGTTTTATCCAAATATAACCGCTAGCGAGGAAAAGAACGCAGTTTACGGAAGTTAAATATTTAGCTGAGCAATTTTCGTCGAGAAGAGTAAAAAATCCCCAAATTTTGACTGTAAAAAGAATTAAGTTCCGTCGGGTTTAGTTCGTTTCTGTAGTACTAGAGAGCGTAAGAAGAGATATTGCATAATTCCTGTCAAAATCTCGGGTATATTTTCATGTTTCACTGCCGAGAGAGCTTTTACCGTCATTTGCTCATTCGATCTGGCAACACTTACTACAAAATACTACGCTAGTACTATGATGAGTTCAATGACCTGACGATGACAAGTTCTTGGCCTCTCATTGGTCCGCTCTGTTTTGAAAAGTTCATTCATAAATCGCAATCCAATATGGCGGAGTGGCGGGTACACACATGGTTAATTTTGTAAACAAAGTTAGCAAACTGTGTGAATCTTTCCGCCCTTTTTGACCTTTACGACGTGAATTTCTTTACATATTGATTTAAAATTTTGTGTTACATTCAGATTTTTGCTTAGCAAGGATTTTGAAGTTGTCGTATCTTCATTACGGTCTTTTGCAAACATCTGAAAAACAGTAGAGTGTTAAGATTAAATGAGCCAAAGTTGGCCATCATCGTTCATGGATTCTAATTCTTCCCAATATGATCATGCCTCAGCTCTACCTAGTATTTATATCTCATGCACGCACGGCAAAAACATGCATGGTTATAAACAATTCATCATCCACTGAATCTAATGTATCTAAATTAATTAGGAATAAACTTACGAGGTCAGAATATGATGTGTGAAGATTTCAACCCTGAATTCATAAGTTTCCGAATACTCTGGCTCCCAGGTAGGCTTTAAAGTCTTGCAGTACCTATTTGCTACACAAATCCATAGAATATAAAATTGAGAGCAACCCGGGAATCCAAAGCTTTAGATGATGTATAAGTATCCTGATATTTTTAGAGTTTGAAGCTCCATATCGACAGCGTAAGTCCACAATCACATATCTCGTTCGCGGTGTCTGAAAATCTCTGTCTCCATGTTATTTTTAAAGGAGAGCAAATTGACGTCACTCTTTGAAGTTTTTGCAGAATTTCCTTTGCACAAAGAAGAAAAATCACAGCAGTTTTAAAGAATTGCTGTTCAGTAACTTCCTGTTTAAAAAATGAAGTAGGTATGACAAGAAGTTTGCGACGTCGCAAACCAAGTCATGTGATTGCTGACTTACACTGTTGACATTCTGGTCTCAAGATTATGGTTAAATGCAGTTCCGAATTTAATAAAGCTGAAAGTTTGCCAACAATGCCTAATTGCCAAAACTTAAGAGGATACTCGGTGTTCTTTTATTATTGAGTTTCTCTGCTGCTTAAGGACTAGTTGTCAAGGAACGACATAATCGCAAGTTAGCAAGTTACAGGATTGTGTTACTTAAAAAATGTTTTAGATATTCCATCACATCAGTAGAAATTCATCAGTATCTACTTTCTGCCAATTAAGAGGTATTTTAAGAAGATGTTCGAAAATACAACTCATCTAACTTTTTTCTTCTTTTCTCTGCTTTATCCAGGGCGATGACAATGTAGAGTATTTTTTAGGACTCACTCCGACAGGTGTTATTGTGCTCAGGAATAAGAACAAAGTCGCAAATTATTACTGGTAAGTAGTTTTTGTATCATCTACAAATGATGCACTAGTTTGTACAGTCTACTTTGTACTCTGTGCATTCAAATTAGCCAATGGAGTACATATCAAAATAGGACTTTTTACTGCAGTTCCTATATTACCCTGTATTATCATTCGGACGCATCTCTGCATGAAGGAATTATATATGTGCTAATAAAGAAAATCAAAAGGAACTATGTTACTTGCAGACCCTGTGTACGTAGTTCATTTTGATTTAATTGATTTTCATATAATTCCTTTCAGTATAAATACGTCCATTCATTTCTTCTTCTTAAAAAACATAATTTTTCAACGCTAATCGAAAAAAATCTATCTACCTCAAAATTGTTGCCTTCAAAAGTCATGCCAATGTCGGACAATCGAGTCTAAAATGTCAAGAAAGTTGAAAAATTATTTAGTTCATGGAAATTAATCCAATTATTGGTGAGTGGTATATCTAGCCAATGCTAGCGTGTGCAAGCCATCCGCAGATTGCAAAGTGCAGCTGAGGATGCTGTAAGTTGAATCTTTGGACTAACCAGCCTCTTGCCTAAATCATTTTAATTTTGCTCTATCAGGGTGAAATTTAAGTCAAAGAAAGTGACCAAGTATCAAACAAAAATTTAATTCAAGTATATACAATAGCAGTTTGAGCCTGACTGACTCCACCAAGTTTTTCAACCTGACAAGATTAAGGGGCCAGGTCGCTGTGCATGTGAGCTACGATGGACAAAGAGATTTAAGCTTCATAAGAACTCAATTTGTTGTACTGGAATTTGTTTGTTCTTGATTTTCACTATTTTCTCTTTCAGGACGAGGATATCAAAAATTTACTCAAAGGGAAAATACTTCATGCTCCGTGTTTGTGATAAAAATGTAAGTTTTTAAAAGATCCTCAAACTTGTGGTTTTTTTTTACTTTGTAATAATTCCAGTAAAACCCTAGCAAAATGGGTTATGTATGTTTTCAAAAAAATGATTGATTACGTATTACCATATCAGATTTGTCTCTCTGGAAACCTTGGATTTTAATTTTTGTGGGTCTCCTTAGATTAAGGAAAAATTAAGTTTCAAATGAAGAGTGAAGTTCACGCTTCAGAGTGTAAGATATACTTTTTTAAACCTTTCTGAATTCATCATTTGAAGAGTTTGTCTCTTTTCTACTTTGAGCCCGAAATTCAGGAAAATATGCATTCCATCCAGAATGACCCTTAAATTAGACACCTTTTCAGAAAAATGCCTGAAATATTGAAACGGCAACTACCTACACATAAAGTCCCTTCTGTCTTAATACTTTCCAATCATTCCTTATTCAGTTGTGAACATTTCAATTTTACTAGTTTCGCTTTTCTAAGTGTCAGCTTGAGCCGCTTTTGCTCTAACTTTGTTAGAGACCTTCTACTTTTCAAGGGTGAACTGCATTGCTAAAATCCACCTCATATGTTATTTGCTGAATCAAGTAAATGTAAAATGCCAACTACTTTGTTACAAAATTGGTGGAAAGTTTGTAATTATGTCTTTTGTGGGTTTTTTTTCCTAGAATGAAGAAAACACCTACGGATTTGAGACTCCTTCCAGGGCAGCCTGCAAGCATTTGTACAAATGTAGTGCTGAACATCATTCTTTCTTCAGACTAGTTCAAGTTTTACCAAATCCTCCAGATATCCTTACCTCTAGATTTAGGTAAAAAATACTTTCTCTGACATTATCATCTAATTATTTATGAATCGAAACAGTCAAGAATTATAATTCCATGGTATTTTTAATGATAGAGCAGGAATTACTATAAAGTTAAATCTAAAATGATCGCACGAACTGAAATAACAAATTCAGCAGTAACAGCAGAGCTAAAATAAAAATTCATCAGTGTTGAGCAACATTTTTTGCAAGTGTGCAGCTGTATCTTCTTTATTTGTGGATCTGGTGATGAATGTTTTTATGCAGCTTCAATTAAATACAGCTATTGATCAGGGAATCTTGGATCTGTTTTTTTGATACGTAGGTCCTTTTTTCTTAATGAATTTCTACCAGACTAACATGTTTTAAAATCATTTGTTAATTTTAATTGTTGCTAAATTTGTTCATCACGAATGACAATCAAGTTCCAAAGGTCCCAGACCAGTAGAAACAATTTGAATTTTAAATTGATTGTTAAACCTCGGAAATTCAAAATTTCTAAGAAGCTTCAAATTTTTTTGTTTCAAACTTTGATCAATTCTTGAAAACCTCTGCAAGTTTTAGAATTTTTAATTTTATGGAAGGTTTTTCATTTTAATTCATGTACATCAATCTTTCCACTTATTCACAGTAGCAGAACAGAAAAATTGTCTGGTCGCAGCCTTCAGCTCAGTCTCCGAAACCCTCCAAATTTTGTTCGAACTCCTAGTCGCCGTTATCAAAGACGGATTGTTGAAGGGGCGTTAGATCGTAAGTCACTTCTAATCTGTGTATAATTTTTTTTATCCCTTGGATTCAATCTTTCATTCTCAACCTACTCCATATCACTTTGAAAATTATTTGTGAGCGCTTGTCTAACGCAGTTTTCTCAGAGTGGTGTACGAAAATGTTTTGAAAGATAGAAACTCAATGTCTAAAGTCATAAATCTCCACTGAACTAGCTTTACTTTCATATCAGAAGGGTCCTGCAATTCAACCGAGAAATCCTCAATTAAACAGAACATATTTTTTTCAGATATATTTGTTATCTCTGTTAAGAGGTCATTTTTGGGAATAAAAAATAAATGAGGTCAGAACTGAAACCGTTTGTTCCTCAGCATCTTTTGAACAATATTTGATCTAGCAGCTAAGATGCTAAGATTTCTGGCAAAAATTACTCTCAATCCGAAAAACATCTAGTAATGTTCCGAACTTCATCGAAACACCTACTCAATAATGTCATGTTTGGCATGAAGAAATTCTTCCCAGTTAGTCACATAAGATAAAAAATTCTTACTATTTACAATTAATTATTTAATTGTGAGCAATTCGCAGCTATCTCCAATTGGAGAAGTTCTAATAGGAGAAAATGGTTTCATTTTGTTGTTAAACTAAAGCTGTGCCATTCTTCTTTCTTTGATGCATCTTGCACACAAAATAGATTAATAATCACTTATTTTTCCTTATTTTCAGCATCTAAAGCAGAGGACCCTCCTCCCCCTACTCCTAAGGAAAACGTACCACCAGCTGAAGTCAAAACCGTATCCATTCCTCAACCAGTTTATTCGTGAGTATTATTGTATGAATATTATGGCATTGTAATCAGATTACATCCCATTGTAATCAGATCTCAATGAATTCATCCCATAAAGTTAGGTCTATCAGAGTTTGATAACATCTTGTATTCCAAAGCAATCTTTGTTATTGATTGATGGATATCATTAGCTTTGATTGATGGATGAACTATTTCTTGAAGGCACTTTGAATCAAAGTTTGTCCACATTTCATTAAATGAAGAACTTTATCATGTACCTTTTTCAGCCAGATTTTAAGCGTTTTTATAAAATTAAAAATCTCTCAAATTTTGTGTTGCCCTAATTTCAGTGTGCGAAGAAGCGACTCACCGCGCAGCACACGCAGTGCTCCATGGGGCCCTCGAGGAAGTCCTCAAAGTGTGCGTGCCGGTTTGTTCTCTGGTTCATCACCACGCTCAGTCCGCTCAGCCGGTCCACACAGACGCCATCATCACCGCCGCTCATCTAGTGTAGAAAGCCATAGTTCAAATGATTCTCATTCTTGTCGAAGGTACTCCCCGTCTAGGACTTCTTTTGATTTATTCATTTTTTTTCCTGTTCTGTTGAACTAGATGTAGGCACTATGTGAAGAAGTGAATACAAATAGGCTGCTTGACAAATCATCACAAATGATCATGGAAAAATTTATTAATTATCCTTCGAAGTAGTAATGTTAATGCAAGGAGTTAGCCAGGGTTGCCAGTCAGGGAATATCGGAAAAACAGGTATCTGTCAAGAGATTTCAAAAAGTCAGGAAAATGACGAAAGTGACAGTGAAAAATTATTATGTCACCTTATTTGCTTGCCAGAATGGGTTTGACGTTTTAAACAACGAATTTCGCCTGAAAATTGTTTCAAATTATGTCTTTTTAACCATGTGGCACATTGATAATGAAACTACCAGACCATGTATCTCGGTTTGCGGCATTGTAGACTTCTTGTAACATTTTATTTTTTAAAATGGATAACCACTCAACATCAACTGAAAACTTCTTTGTTCCTTCTTCACTGTGTGAAGAAAACTCTGTTAAACTTTCAAGAAATGATACCGATCTGTTCTCCTTCAAAAAAATAAAATAGGAGTTAAGATTTTTAAACACCACAACAGTGGCGGTTTCACTGTCGGTATCTTCAATGGTCAATAAATTTTGCCGAAACGTGTCAGGGAAATTCTTAGTCTTAATTTTTCAGAAACCATGAATTTAACTCATACACTAAATATCACTGTTTTGCCGCACTACAGGTCCATTTTTCACTTCGATTTTTTTATTCTTAATTGAAATTTTCATTCTTTTCAGGCGCAGGCATAGAAGTAGGAGAGGCTCTGACTGTGAAAGCGAATTGTCAAGGTGCTCAGGTAAGCATTCATTAAAGTGTCATAATCAGGAACTAATATGTATCATCTGATGCAATAAGCAGAATTCTGAAATCCTCACTTTTTTGTTCATATCGATAGTAGATCAGGTGTTATCCAGTTATTGATATTATTGCATCTTGATGCTAAGAGAATTGATCCAAAGAAATCGCTCAAAATTGTGGAACTTTTTGTTAATTTTGTGATCAGAAGACGTTCATTTTCTTTATCGTAACTGCTGATGATGTTGACTATGTTCTCTATGAAATACATAAATACTTTTTGGGTTTTAGTGTTTTATTTCACCTCGATTTAGCTTGTCAAAATCAACCTATTTACATGTCAAGTTGCATCAAGCACTGCATCACTACTCAATTCTTTTTCAGGTAAATCTCATCATAGTCATCGTAGACCAAGACATCGCAGTAGAAAAACATCGCACAGTGATAGAGAATCCTCAAAACACAGTAATTACCAGTTGGTTGAGTCCGAAAGTCAGTGGAAAGAGGTCCAAAGGAGACGTGGTGAGGGTTCTGAGAGCCTAGCAACAGCGAGCGTCAGTCGTCCACGTTCTTCAGGACATCACAATAGCGGCATGGAAACGGAGAGTGAGAGATCGTACCATCATCATCACAGGAGAAAACATCGCAAGCATCGGTGAGTTCTAGAGCTAACTTGGTTTTAAAAAAGAATTAAAAAAATCAGAAGCTTACAGTCTTTTTCATTAAGAAAAGGGTTTGTGACGTCTTGAAATATCCTTGATTATACTTGAATTTAATCACAAATCTTCCAGTTTTTGAAATTCTTAAATTTTTGGATACTACTCAAATTGTTGCTTGCTTTCTTAACTACTTTTTGAGATGACCTCTGTCACTTTTATTGCTCCATGCTCTCAGCATTAGGATAAGTAGAAAACTTTTGTGAGGGGAGACCAATGGCACATTCATTCTCCACAGGGGTCTACTAGTTTTAAGCTGCTACAAACGGTCACAACTTTTTTTTCTTCTTCTCCTGGACACTTCCAGTTAAACCCATCAAACTCAGGTGAAAATATTGTCATGCTTTAAGTCGGTAGAGTGAAAAGATGCATCACGAGGTCTTTGAATTTGACTTAATTTGGTATTTTTATTTCTGATCGTTTGGAAGATCGGTTTTTTTTGTTTTTTTGCCGTGGAGACTGCATTGTTTGTAAATCGTCTATTCTCTTTTTTCACACGGGTATCAGGAAATAACGAAAATTCAATTTTGAAGGCATTTTTCAAAGCCTTAAAAAATGTTTTGTACATTTTATGAAGCATTTGAATAAATTCATGAATTCGAACTCTTTGTAAAATCCTCGAAAGTCCCTGATACTTGTTTTGAAAAGCAGTTTTGATCGTGAAAAATATCCGAGTCCTGTTAATTTACATTTTATCTTTCACAAGAGAATCAGTTATTTTAATTTTTTGAATTTTACTTCAGATCCCGCTCACCATCATCAGATAAATCTTCTCGATTGCCGGACGAACTTAAGCAGCATCTGGAATTCTCATTGGTTGAGACTGAAGGAATGAGTGAGTCGCAGCTTAAGGAAATTCCATACAAAGTGGTCGAGACGAATACTGCCAAATCCGCACTGCGAGTGCGTTTGTCACCCTCAAATAAACGGAAATTAGCTCCACGGAGGACAAAAAGGTAAGGTCAAAAAATATCCTAAATCGGAGACTAAGCATCAAATTAAACTTTAAAAAGGGAATATTTAACTCTTTAAAAACCAATTAAGGAAACTAATTTGGTTTTAGAGAGCTGTAATATAGCATCTACTAGAATGATCACATCAGTCACAAATATTAAACTTGGAAAAGTGATCGTTCTGATTTTTCCAAACTTTTTGCTGTATTAATAATTCTGTACATGCAATTTTTGAAAGGAAATATCAATTGCCAATTGCGAAAAATGCATATCTCAATGACAGCAGTCAAAAATCTCCGATTTTATTTGTATTTTCTTCAAGAGAATTCAATCAAAATTTTTCCTTGCAATTTTACGTAATTTCTTCGAATGAGTGACAAAAATTCTTAGGAAAGTTCAATAGAAACTGCCTTTTCCTTAAAAAGATGTAACATAATCAAAGACTCACAATGTCGCAATCTGAGATACGCATTTTTCGACTTGAGCCATCAATATGTAATTGATTACGTCATTTCATACCATGGTTAGTGCCTTTTAGTCTTTCAGATTTGTTTCATTAAGCAGTCCTGCTTTTAAGCACTCAGCCAATAGGGAGTGCTTTCTGATTTCGACCTGAAGACCTGTAGAATCTTAGTACACCAGTGGTAATGTGTTCAAATGGCGCAACGACTCACTAACAAGATGGCAGATAGGGGCCTCCCACATTTAGAATAAATTTCTCTGTTATACCTTTATTTAATGCTTTTGGTATCAAAGAGCCAAGGACGATAATCGTCTATAATTTATTTCTTTAACGGTAGTGTCCTTTTTTCAAAATTGATAGTTGAAATTTTGGTAAAGCGAGTTCTTTCACTCAATTTTGCTTATCTTCTTCGAGGAACTTACAAATGCTCCTGCATAGAAAACAGCTGAGCGTTTCGCTAATACAAACGTATTAGAGCTTCCCTGCTTGTTTTTTATTCTTCTTTTTCTTCATAATTTACTTGACCTTCTCTGGGGTTTTTCAGCAACAATTCACTTAAAGACGGGCCTCCGAGTAATAGTGACAGTCCACCGCCTCCGTACAGTGAAAGTCCTGTCCTGTCTGATCTCAACAAAAACAACAGCAAGTCTAACTCCCAGCTGCCCAGGTACGATGAAGTTACCACCCAGTCTTGTGGATTTTTCATCTAAGGTTTCTTAAAACTTAAGTCTCTCCTCTTCCGCCTTGCTGTGTCCTGTGTTTGACGTACTGAGTAGAATTATTCTGTGTGTTTGTAGTTTTTGCTTTCTGCAAATGATGTTCTAGACCTTTCTCGTGGCTTTGTATCCGATTTGTGTTACTCATTTTTCATTTTTAACCGTCCATATGGAAAGGAACCTCAATCCAAGGAAGTGAAATTTGCAGGAGAGTGACGTTTGTCTGAGTTGGATCAGAAATCTTGATTTTGAGATTTCCACAAAGAGATCTAGCTAGTGTCCTAACACAGAAAGTTGCAAGTGACTTTGTGTGTTTTTGTCCTTAAAAAAAAGGTGAAGTTGCATTACGAGTGTAGTCCAGTGATTTTGTGCCTTGCACATTGGAACATTGCAAATTAGAATTTTAAATGTGTAGTTTTTTTCTGAAACGGTTTTTTTTTAATTGCAAATTTCAAAGTATTACTATTTATTTTAGTATGGTTCTGCATTTTCCTCACTAAAATGTCTGTAGAACATTCTTCTATACTGAAGTATCAATATCTTTATTTTTAGTCTCTTTGGACTCAGGTTTCTTTTCCCATCGGCGGTAAACTTTTTGTGGCTAAACTTTGTAAAACCAAATGACACTTAGAATTGGCTTTTCCAATACTACTGTTCATTTTTGTCAGGAATTGATTACACCGAAGAGCATGCCGAGTTAGTAAGCCTAGCGTGATTCACACTTTAAAGTTACGTTCATGCAGTTAATTTCTAGTTTCATTTTTCTTCTATTCGTTCAATAGATAAAGATCACGCCAATAAATATCATGTGTGTAACTGTCTCGCGTGCTTTTTTACAACTATTTTTTTTTTTCTTGCATGTTTGAGTGTTGAACATAATAGAAAAAGATTTACTTTTGCATTCATAAAAAAGAAAATAAATAAAAATAAAAGAGAAGAAAGAGACAAGGAAGAAGAAGGAAGATTTTGTGCAATAATTTTAATGTAATACCTATAAGATAGGTATGAATGTATTCCAATATTTCAGAAGAGATGTTATGATTCTCTCATGTTTGGCACTCTATTTCTTAGGTCAATAGCACTTCCAGGGTTCAGTTTTGTTTTTTTTGTATGTACACACAGTGGAAATCTTTGCTGTGAGTTTTAAAAATGACACAAAGAAGAATTCCGTTGAACCCCTGACTTCCTTCTGTGTCTCAAAAGACACAAAAAGTTGGGTGTTTTTCAGAAGAAGTATTATTACATCACTCATACTCAAGATAATATTTATTATTGTTAAAATGTTTTTCTTCAGAGTGGATTTGACTAAAGCACACCAACTGTTTCATGCTTCTATTTTTAATGAATTATTTTAGCTTTAAGATTCTAATTTTTGGCATGCAGTGTAAAGAGTATACAAAATAAATTTTTCGTGCCAAAAACTCTTTTCAAATCTCGGCTTTTTATGTTTTAGTGACTTACCCAATTAAACTGTCATATGATGAATAGTGGTTTTTTTTATATTGCCTCAGAATAAGATACAAGTCTCTCTGTGTCTCCGCGTACGTAAGATTTTCAGAGATAATGTTAAAAAAGAAAAAAGAGGAGAAAAAAGAACTATGTTTCAAAAACAGTAATCAGGCTGTTAGATAGAAAATAAAGTGAGAAAAATAATTTTCAGCTTATCTTGTCTCCAGAAAAACTTAATTGCTCTCTGATAATCAAATTTTGAAGTTTTACACATCTTGGAGTCCAATCATTTATGCGACACCATTCTTTAATGAATAGGTTTATGAAGGTAAAAATAATGGATGAATCTGGATAGTAATTAATGAATCTGGATAGTAATTAATGAATCTTGCACACCAATTCAGTAACACTAGCATATTATGAAAACGATCTGAATCAAAGGGCGGTAACAAGAGTTCCATTCAGCGGTTCCAATCCTTCTTTGCTCTTGACCACGAAACATGAAGAAGTTGACTGAAGCCTTATTTCTGGGATTTTTGTCATCATTAGGTCAAAAAAGGCTGAAAAAACTCTCATCATTGTCTGTCATTTGAGACGTTTTTTTAGTAGATTAGTCAGAAAGGTGCTTTAGTTCTCATTATTTCTTTGAACCATGTCTTCTAAAATTCCAACCAATTTATTTAAATTATAATTGAAATATCTCATGAAGAAATGAGAGGCCACTGTTGCAGTTAGTTTTTTCTAATCAGTCTGCCTAAAGTCTGCAGGTTTAGGGAATGTTTATTTTAATCACTAAAAAGGAAATGGCTATTCTCATTTTTCTTTGAAGTTTCTCCTGGATTACAAGAAACTGGTCCCAGATTCTCCAGGGCTCTTGTGCATTTTATTTAAAAATTATGTTGAAAATATGTGACTAATTTCCAAAGGGCAATTTCCAGTCTATTTAAAATTGATGTTACTGAAATGCATCAGTGCTGGTTGGTTATCTTCTTAAGCATGAACTAAAACTTTAAAATGCATGAATTTACTCGCTGTTTTCTTAAGGATTGGAGATAATTTCCATGGTTTCCAAAAAGAATGGCTGTGAACTTTTTTTCATCGTTCTTATTTTTTGCATTTTAGTCCTTCGTCTTTTCTTATGAAATTCTTTATCTCAATATGTATTACTTTTCACCAACTCTTCATTAAGTTTCCATTATTCTGTGCACTCGCATCACTCAGGCTCGCATGGCAATCACAAATTTTTCCTTTGAAATTGCATTGTCTCCTTACAACATGCGTATTATGTCTTAGAGGGCATGAAGCATGAATTATTTAAGATATCATTGCTAGTCGTAAAAAAAATTGTCGAGTCAGCCAAATTGAAGTTTTTTTCCTGAAATGTGAGGTCCACCTCATCTGATCTGAAAAGTTGGTCCACTTATCTGAAAGTGATGCACTTTTAAGTCTAGTATTTGCCTCATTGGCTGGCTCATCAAGAATTACTGATCCAAAATTGTTTAAAAAAGACATTGAAAGGGTGGTTTGGAATGATCTCAGAAAAACACCTTATTTCACAGCTACAGCATTGCTATCTGCACATTATTCGAAAGAATTTTCTGCTTGAAACTGACACGACCAGCTCATCACTAACTTCACCGACGTACAACTAACTGCATAGGATAGTTTTTCTCCTGCAGGAAAGAGCACCTAAAATCAGAATACACAGATTCTTTTGAAAGACTTTGACTTGATACATATTTGAACTTTATGTACTGTTTTAAATTATACTTGAACCAGTAACTGCTAGGCACTTCAACACTGTAAAAATGTACATACTTTAAAAGAAGGCAAAAACTTTTGACTTTCAAACAACATCTGGTGGCGCAGGAATATTTTAAACTTCACTACTGATACCTAAAGATTTCCACTCAGTTAGGTGGTTATGTCAATGCACTTGGCGGTTTTCCTGCTTAAGCACTGCAGCACAGCTATTCGTATTTGGATGGGTCAGTGAATGAGTCGATGTAACAATCGTTATGTAAATGTCAGGCATTAAAAATTGAAAATTTACAGGAGTTTCCAACCTTTCCCCATAATTTAGTAAATTTAGTACGCACCGGCAGTACACCTACAATATTTTGACTTTTTTCGTTTATTGTAAAGTGGAATTCAAATAACCAATCAATTGAAAATTTTTCACTCCATAGATATGTACCTCATTACTCTGAATAACCATATTTCTGTTTGTTTCTTTGAGCATCAGTTTTAAGATGAAAAGTGTTGGTTGTAAATCTTGAAATTCTGTAGATTTTACTCAACTAAAACTGCGGTAAATTTTCACGCAGCAGAATAATGTCCCAGGCTCATCAAACTTACATGATGTCTAATGCGTGACTGAATGAAATATCTTACACGAGCGCAACTGTACAAAATTACTCTACTTTTTGTAGTTTTGTGTTACTTCAGAGTATTTTTGAAGAGATATTCTTTACTTTTCATCCTAAACACAACCCTCAAATCATCTTCTAATTCTACAAACTCATTTTTTATCATCGAAATACATGCCTCTTGCTCACTGATCCAATCCTCAGCACCACTGGTATTGACAAAATTCTTCGGAGGATAAAATCATCACCAAAATTCTCTCTGTAAATCTAGTTAACACCCATTTAAGGAACCTACAGCACTGTGTAAATCCCTTACTCACTCTCTAATCTTGAAATTCATCAAAAATTCTTGAAAATTTTCCCAGGATATTCACTTTTTCCCATTTTGGTGATAATTTCAGGATTGGGTTCTTTTGTTATTTTTAGGGAAATTCTAAACACTATCATATCTTTTTGTGATGTCCTCAGGAATTCAATTCTTAATCGACGGGTGTTTTCGGTTTTAGCAGGAGCTTTTTAAGTTTTCCAATTATGCCCACATCTTATGTTCGTATATCAACAGGTTGATTGCTATCCTTATACTTAGACACATGTAAATCGTCTGTAGCCAAATTGAAAATTGCAAATATGCATAGGTGTGACATTCTCGTAATCGTCAAGAGAGGAGTGGATGTTTGATATTCTGGAAATATTTTTCAGCTCCTTTGATAGAATTAAATTTCTTCCTCGAAGTGTTAGGTGTTATTTTCTTCATCAAACAGAGTTATATTCCACAAAACGTCAGTATCTCTCACATCAGATTTTTGGATGAATACATTTTTTATGTAGCAAAAATTACCTATCTTTCGTGAGTCACCTTTTCTAATCATCCATCAAGATTCATGCGCTGACTTTTTAATTTCAAACAAATCTCAATGAAACCATTTGATTAGGCATCGCTTTATCAAGTCCTCCAGTTTTTTTCAAAATAATTCTAGACAGTCTGAAAATAAATTATCGTATCAAAGTTCATTGCCAACCACCCAGAAACGACCATCCATACTTATATGTGTTTTGACTGTGAATTGACCCGGTACAGCTGACTTAACCCAACATTATCGCTCCAGTGAGATATGAGCTCAATCCATCGATCGTGTAAGTAAAATTTTTTCCATACGCTCTTTAAAGACTTCACCAACTCTGCAGTTTACGACCACGTCAGTTTCTTTTGCCATTATCGTGAAATAATTATTGATTTTTTATTTTGTGATCAAGACTATCAGATTAAAATATGCCATATGCGTCCATTTTGATAGCGAATAATTTCTGAGAGCCTTGCAAACCTCCAAGAATGATGAGAAGTCCCTATTAGATTAGATTAATCTTCATTTATAAATGATCTTTTTTTCGGGGAAAAAATCCTCATTGTGAATGTAGTGCTTAAAAAAGTGCATGCTCTCTCGTATCCTTTGGAATTTCCTCGCTGAAAAGACTGTTCATGTCAGAAAAAATTCCTCACCTTGTTTCGAATTTTACTTTTCATGTTGGTTCATGTTTCAAGTAAAAATCCTCTGTAGTTGTGTTTGGTTTTTATATATTTTTATTAGACATCAGTATAGAAGCATGGCTTGTGAAAGCATGAATTGTGTGTCTTTTTCTGTGGTAAGAATAGAATCTAAGTTTTTTTATGTGTTAAAAAAAATTTATCAGCGGTAAGAAAAAAAATCTCTAACAGGCTCATTAGTTTTCAAGGCAGTCCAGTACCAAATCCCAACAAGCTGCAAAATCCACGGCAGGTCTACAGATGCTTAAACAATTTGTCTGTTCAGAATAATTGAATCAGTGAGAACGAAAACACACAAACTAGAAAAAATGAAAATAATCAAGACACACACAAAACTGCACAGTGGGTGAAGAAGTTAGTCTAAGAAAAAGATTTTTGGTTTCGAAGGACAAGTACTGAAGGACTCTCTAAAGGTCCAAGCTAGAACAGATGTGCTAGCTTTGATGATCTTTGTGAAAATTGACTGTCTTCAATGAAAATTAAGCATTTCCGAGTTACAGAGTTGGTGTGTTTTCGTTCTCACTGATTCAATTCTAATGAGCGCAGCACAATTTTGATTTAAGTACATACATCCCTTCGAAAGTTGCCCTCTGCAAATACTACGGAGTAACAATTTATTTACAACATGATCTTTTGCGTTCTGAGCCAGGAGATTTTATTCGATTAAATTAAAACTTTTTAAGTATGGGAACCAAAAACACATGAGCAGTGCACTAATTTTCGGAATTTTTTTCAAATGTGTTGTTTCCAAAACTGTGGTGTCATATCTACGTTTAATCGTTTTCAAGAAAAGTTTGAATAGAAATCGCATTGTTTATTTTAGAAAAAAAACTCAGATTTGAACACGAGTATTATTGAAGAGCCTATAATAACAAATTTTTAATCTCTTGATTTAAAAACTGCGATGAACCGGTATTGTATTTGCAGCTCAGGTAATAAATGAATAGCATACTTTACCAAACATATGTTTTCATTTCTGTGATTTTAACTGAACTAATAGAACCTTTTTATTTTCAACAGGATACCAGCAAGGAGCCAGCCATCGCGGCCACCGTGCTCTGCATTGTATGGAAACCCAGGAACTCTCTTGGGCCGAACCCCATTTTTGCATGGCAGTCAAAACAGTGTTGATCTCCTTGACCATTCAGCGTGGTAAGCTCCTCTTATGCTATGACCTTGAAATTTTATTTTCAAGTCCAGAGTGACAGATGCTCTTGTTAAATTTTGTTCTGATGATCCATCAAATGAGAAACAAGGGGAAATTACGGAAACAAGGCTGATAACTGAAGTGGATTACATTTATATTAAATTAATAGATTCAATTAGTTCAAAATATCATAAAAAAGGATTTAGAAGTAAACTAGAATGAAATTATTCGATTAAATACAAAATGAACTATGTAAAAATTGCCTGTCATTTAATTTTATAAGAATATCAGTGTTAATAATATTAAGTTGTATAGTATTTAATGCAATAACTATTATAATAATAAGGTGATCTTCCCATTCGAACTACGCATTTATTGATAGTCGTCAAAATTACTAAAAGAAGAGCTAATCTTACTACGATTCATCAAATGGAACTTTACCATTTTAAGCAAATTAAGTAAATTTGGTGTCAATTTGTAGATGATTAATTGTTCTTTCCAATGCAACTAAAATCAGCTCTCTAGCTGTCTTAGTTCAAAAGTTACAGCGCCTGTCTCAGTTTTCTTTGGATAGCCTACGTACTATCACCACTTTTACTGTATTCCCAAGGAGTAAGAGAACCTTAGCTTTTTCAGGAACCTACAAATGCTCAATCTATTCTAAAAATTGAATTTTGTTTTCTTAATACGATGGTAGGAGGAGGAAAGGAGTAAAAAAATTCAGGCTCAAATTCGTCTGAGAAAAACAGGAAATAAAAGCTTTTTAGTTCATTTAGTAAGAGCAGAAGTATATGTTACCAGTCGATTTATATTGGTAATTATAAAGATAATAGCTTGCAGTGAAAGTTCTTTGTTTTAAATACAGGCTGTGCTATTTGCTTTATTGAGAACATAAATTAATATTTGACTCCCAGGATAACGCCCCAAATTCAATCTGAACACTCTCCCGTAATTTTTTTATTATTTTCAGTGTTATTTAAAATACCTTACCTTTTTTTTGTATCAGGAACTCGACCCCAAAACGATCGGACCATTCACCTCAAAGTTCTCCTTACAATTCAATTGGCTTGCCTCTGCCGTAAGTTCCCCAAGTTATCTGATATTTATGAAAAAGTCGAAAGTGCTAATACATGCAGCAAAGTGTTTCATTAAAATAGGGGAGAAAATTTCTATCTTTATTTATTTAAAATCATTCCAAAATTTTATCTAAATCACTTTATAAAGTAGCACATTCTCTATGTTTGAAGAGGTGTACTTCAGCTAAATGCTCTATAGATGTTGATAAAATTTGCACTGTTACAATGGGCTGCTAGGCAAAGTATGAATGAAAGTAGGGGTGTCCCATAATTTTGCGGTAAGCTATCAAAAAACTTCCATCAATGAGTAGTAATTATGAAAAGACTTGTGAATATCTATTGAGAGTTTTTGGAGCCAGCAAAAATGAGCTGTTTTCCTACGCATTAGTTTTACAGATCAATCAACAGACAGTCTTAAATTTATTAGGCACCAATGCTTCAACTCAGAACTCGTCTGTTCCCGATAAAGCCGCCTGTTTCGAGCAAGAGCGGCCTCATTAAACAAGCAGTACTGATACTTTAGTGACAAAGGATTTATTTGAACACCCCTAAATTAAAGCATCATGTTACATGATTAATCTTCAAAATTTTACGCAGGAAACAATTCTTGCAGTGGAAAGTTCAAGAATCAACTCTTTAGTGTGATATTAAATAACGTAATTTGTATTTTTCCCCTTTGTTATTACTAATGTCTTTTTTTAAGATTTGATTTCCAAACTTTTGATTGTGTAGATCACTTTCTATGAACTTATTAAAGAGAAAACATGGAATGGAGTGCTGTATTTCATACTTTGTTTGGTGCCCTATTTTTATTTATGCTTGTCTAAAATATTTGTCGCTCATCAACTTATCGAGATATAGAGGAACTTAAGACATTCTCCAGAGATTTTTTTAATAGTCTTTTTAGTACTACTCAAAATTTTTCAAATTTCTAATTTGTTCTTTCATCCATCCAAAATTGTTTAGTTCATTTAAGTTTTAACTTCTCTAATGTAACATTGCTCACGTTGCCCTCTTTTCCAGGAACCAACAGAAGATTTGGTCAAGTCCTGAAGTACGAGGCACCGTTGGACTGCCCTGGCCATCCATCATGGAAGGCTTTTACCAACCTGGTGCCAAGTCTATGTCGAACGGCTATTACCCAAGCAACTTGTACAATAACCAACAGCTCGGTGAACCTATGAGCGCAAATCAAAACATTCTGGAACATGGCCTTCGCAATGTCCAACGACCCAGCGATACCTCCATGCAGCGGTCCTCCTCCATAAACTCAGGCCTCAACAAACAAAAAGAAGGCCTCCCCAGTTCGCTTTCGAACCATTCGGGCCGATTCACACGGGGCTGTGCTGTGGAAACGGGTGTGTTGGGCAGTCATACAATCACACCCAATGGCAGTATCGCGTGGCCCAACTCTAACAATAGCATGCGGGGCAAACTTCGAGAAAAGCCAGAGCTGCGCGAAAGGCAGGAGCCAAGAAATGTTAATCGAAGTCCTGCATTAGCTCAGAGACTCAATAGCTCAGGGAACGTAAACCACCCTCCTCCTGTGCCAAGTCCTGAAAGTAAACAGTATGTTACCAACTCTTTCTCCGCTGATCTGCTCAATTGGAACTATCCAAGCCCAAACCAACCCACTGCCAAGATGTTCGGAGCGGAAAGTGATTCGACAAATGCTAACAGTTGGAACTATCCAAACCTCTCAAACCACACAAACTCAGGTTCAAATTGGAATTTGATTTTCACCTTGCTATTTTTTTTTCATTATTTTGCCGAGAAAATTTTGTTTCTCAGAGAATCATGAAGAATTTTTATTTTCTGCGTTCTCAATAGTTATCTTGAACTACAGAATCTGAAATAATCTCGTCGTGCCTAATTTGAAGCCTGTGGTTTTTATGCAAAAAATCCCCTATTTCATCGGGAACTGCAATGCCATAATTTTTGTTTAGTTAGAGATCAAAATCTTATTTCAGTATTGGAGCCAAATAAGTGAAATTAGTGCCAATGCCATATCATACTGTCAACAGTATTATTTTCGACTATCCAGAAAAATATCGCCTCTAAAAAAACTCCTTGGATAGTATCATCCAACAGCATTTTTGAGTGACATTATTTTGTAAAAATGTATTTATAGTAGAAATTTGGCTTTCACACAGACCCCATTGTCTTTTGTTCATCACTTAATCAGCGGACTGATTATTGAAATTGATAGACAAAGAAGACATAGGGAGTATGGGGCGATCCCATTTGTCAAAACGGGTATTTCTCATAGACTAAGGGAGAAAATGATGGACTAACTATAGGTGCTCTTTTGAGTTGCTGTTAGTTAGTCTATTACCTACCTCCTTTGTCCATTCCAACCACCTGCTTCCACCAGTAGGATCGGATCATTTGCCCTATGTCTTCTCTGTCCATAGCTTTGTCAATCAATTTCAACATTCAGCCCGCAGAAAGATTTATTCCAAGAGTTCCTCTTCATGCCATATGTTTTACAACATAATTTACGGCTAAGTTTTCTGGAAATGGAACCAAAAATGAAGTCAAATTAGAACTAATCATTATAAAATTAATCCAAGTATCTGATGTCGTATATTTATTTCACTTTAATCTGTATTTTCCAGGTCCTGAAAGAAAGGAATTTTCAAAACCAGACTTCGTGAACGCCAATGGTTGGGCACCAAAACCGGATGCTGTGAATGGCTGGAGCTACGCTTTAGATAACCAGTGGAGCGAAGCAGATTCAAACCTAAATACAAAGCTCACCAATGGATCACTTGAAGATCTCCTCTCTCGATCCAGTCCGAATGGATCGTTGAAGAGGTGGGATCAGCGCAGTCCAAGCACGAGCATGAAAGGCAAAAACATCTCGCCGAACAGCTCACTACCGATGCATCCTAACGGGTGGCAACGCAATAGTAACAAGGCTGGTGATCGTGGACCGCTGTACCTGTCAGCGCAAGCTTATGAAAACGAGAATGAAAATGTGAGTGGGATATTTTCAGATTAATTCTATTTTATTTCAGGTTCTTGTTAGTGCAAATTTAAACATTTCTCATGTATTAAGTGACAAAAATAGTATGTTAAAAGAGTAGCCTACTAAAACACATTTCAGCACAAGTAGATGTTTTAAATGCTTTACCAGCCAATTGCACCGAAATTTATTTCCTCTCATTTGCTTCATGCATGAGCTTTAAAGTGCCCGTAACATCTGCAATTAACTAGAACAATACGCCAGATTTCTGTGTAGAAATGAAGAGACAGGTCAAAGTTTTGCTACCATTCTCATGAGTTAAATGGTTTTAAGATTTTTAAGTAAATTCTAAAATTTGGAAAGAAACAGTTGCAGAAGTTAGCCAGTCACCATTGAACAATTTCATGGGAACAGATTCAAAAATTCCTGTGTTCTTTTGAGTTAAAACACGTAATAGTCAACTTATATTCGGAAAAAAATTGTAGTTCAGGATGCTGAATAGCTTCTGCAGTTCTTAAATTTAAAAGAGGCAAAGCCAAAGAAAAATCTATTTTCCAGTGGCGAGACGTGAATGATCGATTATCTATATTTCCTCATTTGAAGCTAAGGTAAAGAATCAATTAGTAAGGTGTTCGCTGCGACACTCTGTCTATCGATCCTTGTCCATAGGTTTAAATGGCAGATCAATCGATATATTGCAAAGCACGCCACGCCACTGCTATTTTCATGACCACTCTGTGTGGAGACACACAGATTCTTGAAGAGGAACAATGCCTCATGAGAAAAGTCTTTACACATATTTTTACACTGATACTGTGATCCAGTATGTAGACGGGTAGGTACTTTCGACATATAACCAATTTAAGTTGACTTTTAAGCCTGTGACCAAATTCTCCAAAATTTTCATCCTAAATGTCTCATTCTTAGTTTTGGCTTTTTGTCAATTTCATTTTTTCCCTGCCGATAATTATTTTTAAAGGACCTTTTTCTTTGCCTTATTTACAATTGTTTTACAATATTTTAGTTCATATTTCACTTCACTCCAGTTTTTCTTTTAGCTTTTCATACACGCTGCATTCTTTTCCCTGTTTTTTTTATTTTTTTACCCTCTAATAATTTTGCTTTTTTATTATTTTTTAACACAGAATAACGAAGAATCTTGGTGCTAACATACGCTTAACACTCCTGTACAAAGACTGATTGTTTTTAACATACGTTTAGCTAACAGATTTAGAGGAGGTTGAGTTTTTAACCGTAACATTTTTAATCTGTTATGCTTTTTAAGCACGCATACACACACAGTGAGTTCTCATCTTAGTATTTTGCCATTACAACGTCATCTTTCATGCATGGTCAAAATTGCTGAAAAATCACTATTCTATAACACAATTCTCTTAGGAATTCTAATGAACCAATTTTATAATGCACCTAATCAGAAGGGTCGGCACTATCAGCGAATTCATATTATATTTTCCATAAAAAAAATTGGAAATTCTATTCTTAAATTTTTTATGAAATTACTGTCCAATTGACTGAGTTGATGTCACAAAGGACCCTGCATAAAAAGTCAAGGATTTTGGTGTCGGCTAAGTTTACAATTTATCATCAATAGAGAGAGGTTCATTGGTGAGGATATTCCAGTTGTCGATTCATGACAAACGAAATCTTAATCTAGCTTCTACTTTTTTTATTTTTCATTATTACTTCCCCTTGTCTATTTAATTTTCATTTCCAGTTTTTTCTTTTTTTCTTTCAGTTTTTTGCCTCATAATTTTTATGCAAGTTGCTTTAACCCATCTCTTCCTGTTTTTCCAGGGGAACAATGAATCTAAGACGTCGTTGCAGAATTCTGAGGTCAACAATAATGGCCGGATCATAGATGAAATGAGCACTGAATTATAAATTGTTTCAAGGAATACTGGACCTCTTTTGTTTTAATCTCCATGAAATAACTGTAATTAGTTAAAAGAATTGTAATCATGTACATAGACTGTGCCGAGAAAACTGGTAGTTGGCCTAGTTTCAGGATTATGATTTTATATTTTTTCAGTTTAGAAGATATGAAATGAGGAAATTTAATTTTTACATTTCTGTCAAATTGCTGCCTCTTTGTAAATTTTTGACTAAACAGACGGAAAAAGGTCATTTTTTATAGTTAATTGTACGGATTACAACCCTCTTCAAACCATATCTCTAAAGCTAGCTTAGTTTCTTAAATCAAACCAAATGCCAGTTGTTTTGGGACAGAATGTGTATGATTCCTGGACCATTTTGTAAATTACATGTGAAGGAAGGAAATGCAGTTAATTTTTGTAAGAAATTAGCAGCAAACTTTTCCAATTTTTTTCATTTCCTTAACAAGATCTGTATATCTAGTCTAGTGTGATTACTTATCTGTAGAATTCCTCTTTTACCTCTACTGGTGGACAGTATAAGGAAAAATGCAAAATTAAGAGACAAAAACTAGATCTATTTCAATGGGCAAAGTGCGAAACCATGTACCTTTATTGCGGTGTCTCAAAATGTCCACTCCTACTTTTTTTCTTTTCTTTCTTAAGGAGAAACGAGCCTATTTTATAGCTTAAAATTTCTAAAGTATCTTCTGCTAACACCCAAAAAACATCAGGGAAGTTTTCAAGAAATTACGTTGTCAAGTTTTCCAAAGAGAAATAAACTATGACAGGAAGTCTCCAACGTTGTAAACAGAGATACGCTGTTTCGCACACTTGTCATTGATATAGAAAATATCAGAAGCTTTCTCTTCAAGTCCCCTCAGTGGAAGTTTAAATAATTATTTAATTCACCAGAAATCAGGAAAATATCAGGATTTTTAATTGCTGAAATTCAGGGAAGTTTTATACTAGTGTCTTAGTAAAAAATCGGATCTAATCAACTTTTTTAATGCTGCTGTGTTTTCCCTTCTTTGTATATTTATGAAGTAATGGGAAGAATGAGGAAATTCTCTTGCTATCTTCTTCTTTGAGCTTTGATCGCACTATTTATAAAATTTTCAACTCAGGACCTTATGAAGGATTTTTATTTATGAGTGGACCTCGCACCAACTCTCAAAAAAAGGTTTTCAAGTTTTACTACAATGGCTTTGTCTCAGACTGAAATTTCTGGTTGATGTATAAGTTCAAAAACATTGATGAATATTCTTCTAGTTGATACGGAATTTTGTTAAAATATATTTTCCTTCTTTTTTCCAAATACTCGTATCTGCCTGAAGATCCAAAATCAAATCACCCTCCAAAATCTTTCACTTGTACTATGGAAGTCCTTGATTAAAAAAATATGTAATTCGTCGTAATTGTGTAAAAAATTAGCGTTTTTTCAGGTGCTTCCTCTATAAAAGGAGTCATCCTACGCCAATATGTAAAACCACACAAAAAAAGGAGTAAGAGCAGTTTTGGTGCAAAATTTTCAGGTTTTTGTAACTTGGATATGTTTCTAACTTCTATGTGATTTTTTTTTCATCAAATTTTTTCTGCTATTTTTGTACGATATTTGTATTCTCATTAAAGTCCCGATCACCTGACATAGCCTGAGAAAATGTTTCATGTCAAGATAATCCTCGTATTTTGTACTACTAAGTGTCTGATCTGTGTTCTTTGTAGTCGCATAGTGTTAGCCCCTACATTTTTGTACTTTTATATGTTCCCTTGTCTAAATTTAACCAAAAATTTTTGATTCCTGAGGATGGCAATTTCGAATTCTTCATCTCCAGAAGTACAACAGAGCAGCAGTTTTATCCAATAACTTTTTGTCCCTTTTATTTTTGCTTTCTTTAAATTGCTTATTTTTACCTGTAATAATTCTGTTGCAGCAGAGCGAATCAAGGGTTCTCTCTCACAAATACATGGTTATGCTAATGATAACCAAATTCTTTTTTAAATAGGTGTCGATTCATTTATTAATAAGGGACAGAAATTCTTCTTCAGAGTCAAATGAAAATTTGCTGTTAGTTGAGAAACAAGGAGATCACTGCCAAATGTTCCCGATAAACTTAATCCCATCTCGCAAAACGGTCACTTTGTACTTTTTCTCTGTGTCGGATATTGACGAGCCTTTGGTCCAGAAAAATCTTCCTCCACACCTGCTCAAAATTTTTACTGCCAAAACTTGATTACTCACAAAATATGTATTCATTTACAGAACATTTTTGCGTAAAGTTCTCTCTTATTATAGCTTTACTTTTACATCGACTGGTGAGCTTTGAGGACCAAAAACTATGAATACTGCTAGAAGATATCACTTCTCAGAATTAGTATTACAACTAATGTAAGTCACTTTTTTTTGTTTTGGTTCAAATGTCTGTAACTCTTTCCTATGAGTCTCCATTTTGGATTTCACATCCAGCCTCCTCCTAAATGGTCTTTTCCCTTGCGTGTAAATATTTGTGCTAAAAAATTTAACTCATATTGAATCTGCACTTTTTACGTACCTAAGTATTTATTTTTCAATCTTTTTCTACATTTCTTAATTTGTACTATAAGCGCTGCTTTCATCTTTAGTTTGTTACCATTCTACCGTTTGTCCAATGACTAATAATGACATTTGTACAAACTACTTATAATATTTTTCTCATTTTGTAAAGGAAGCAGAATTCGGTAGGAATTATCTTTTGTTACTTATATCATTTCACTTTGTTTATTCCTAAATTCATAGTATCTATCTTCTCACCTCAGTATGTAACTTAATATTTTACAAAATTTTCACTATAAAATAAACATTTTGTGTTCTTGACCTCATAATTTTTTCTCATTCTACATCATAAAAATCCTTCATCACCGCATATAAGAAGCACACATTTTTCCTTTTATACATTTTTAAGGTGTTATTCTGAGGTAGAAATTTTAAATTAAGGAGCCATGGGCGAAAATTTTGTCCATTTTGCCATATCGTGCATTTTAAAGGCATAAGTAGCCTATGAAACATATTTCAAAGGTGAAAGTGCAGAAGTGCCTAGCTCGGAAAACATGATTTTCCAGGAGAGTAAAAAAACTGTCTGAATTCCTCTTTATTGTCAGTAGCAGGGTAATAATTCTTGAGGATAGCAAGATAAGATGCTTTTTCAGACTCCATCAGAATTTTGGATAATTTCTTGAACTGTCAGAAAATACAGCAGAAATGCCGAGATTCGCGTTTTCTACGAGCACTAAGTTGCCAGGTGGGCAACCCCTGACTTTGGCTCCTTAGTTGCAAGATGGGCGGCCCCCGGCTTTGGTTTCTTAGGTAGCAGGGGGGCGGTAGGGTGGAGCGTTTTGGGGAAATGTTGTCCGATCGAGTTCGGACATATGACAATCGATGCTCCTTCTGAATACGAATCGAAATGGTTATGTTGAATTTTGCCGAAAAATTCCATCTTCTGCAAGTAAATTGGACCGAAAGGGCGTAAGTTAAAAATGTGATTTTTTGAAAGATTTAAAAAAGCATTCCTGCTTGGAATTGACGAGTTGTGTTTCTATGGGCAAAAATTTCGTCCGTTTTGGCGTATCTTCAACTTTAGAGGCAGTAACAGCAAATCGACGGTGAAACTACCAAACCACGTATCTCGGTTTGCGACGTCGCAGACTTCCTGTCATACTTTATTTTTTAAATGAAAAACTACTTAACATCCAGTCTTGAAAATTTCTGTGATTTTTCCTCTTTGTGCGGAGAAAATTCCGTGAAAATTTCAAGGAATGCTGTTGATTTGTTTTCCTTTTAAAAAATAAAATGTGAGCGTAGATTTTTAAACACCGCAAACGAGATACGTGGTTTGGTAGTTTCACCGTCGATATCTTCAGTTACGGTCAAAAACCCTCAAAAATTTTTGAATTTATCTGTATTTAGTGTTATGAACGTTTCATTCAAAACCCTATGCCGCCGTTTACAAGATCGCAACTCACTCAAAAGCGGTCGTGAATTTAAATAGTTTCGCACGGATATAATGAGTTTTCTTTGATTAACTGTGAATAATCATAATTGAAGTAAAAGTACTTTGTCCACTGGTCCATTAGGAAAGCGTAAAGCATGGATTAATGGAGCATCGATGACCAACTAAATCTTATCTGATAAGGAAATTTAAGTGTGAAACCCTTTTTTTCGTCTTTAAATGATCCAAATCCACCAACAAGTTTAAAACACTAAGTGCAAAAATGCGAATCTACTGATGAAGGGTCGATTCTTAGTATACCAAAAACGCGAATCTCGGCATTTCTGCCGTATCTTCTAACAGTTCGAGAAATTATTGAAACTGCTGATGGAGTTTGAAAAAACATCTTATTATTGCCATCCTCAAGAATTATTAATAAGAAGGGTAGAAGGTTAATCCCTTCTGCCGACAATAATATAAAGAGGAATGCAGACAGTTTTTTTCTCTATGGGTGCCAGCTACCACACTCGCGAGTTCGTGAATTGCCATCAATAATCTGTGTTAGGTTCGGTTAAGCAACTAAACTAACTCCTTGGCAAAGCGGAGAGTATTGCTAGATTTGAAGGCGTAAAGAAATCTTTACTATATCGATGTTATCGTAATTACAATTTGACGAATTGCACGTACGGAGCTTGCAAATTCCCGGCGATTGCTGACTCCCTGCGACTTATACACTGATAAATATTTCAGAGATAACAAGGCGCATACAGGCAGTTTTTAAAAAAATTGAGATAGTTTTAATTTCAAGTAAAACTAGTTTTGATGCATATTCTGTGAAAAATTCGCTCCCAAACTCCAATTTTTAAGCATCAAAATGTCAGTTTGAACTTTTATTCCGCCATAAGGATCCATGTATAATTTCGAAACTTCAAACACGTATTTCTCGAAATAGCAGAAACTGCACTTGTGCGCCTTGTGCGCCTTGTCCTCCAAGCCTATCAATTATCTCGTGACGTTGACTCCTTTGGATCTGAGCTCGCTTGGAATTGACCCGCTGAGTTCGATTTTCGAGTCGGAAAAGCTCCGCGAGTCCCTCGCTTCGAGCTATCCGCTGAAAACGCTCCAGAGAAACAGGCAAAAAGTGGTCAGAAAAGCTCCTTTTTGACCAGCTTTTGACTGTTTCTCGACTCAGGAAGCCTCGCCGAGTGTCGGGACCGTGCGGAATCGATTCTTCGCCTTCAACTACGTAGGATGCGTGAAATCTCGAAATTTTTTTCTCAGTCCCAAATCGAGGAAAATCGACTAGGATTACTTGGACTAAATTTTTAGCGTCAAAATAGATAGTTCGCCGATCGGGTCGAAACAAAGTAAGCTCGCTTGGAATTGACCCGCTGTGTGGGATTTTTCAGTCGGAAAAGCTCCGCGAGTCCCTCGCTTCGAGCTATCTGCGGAAGACGATCAGAGAAAAACTCAAAAAGTAGCCAGAAACACTCGTTTTTGACTAGTTTGCCTGAAGTCAACGGACGCCTTCAAATGGCCGGGTATGCAAAATGACTGCCGTGACGCGCGAATAGTGGTATCAGAATTTTACATTAAGTTTACGGATTAATTTGAAGGCGCTCTTCTGTATCCATTATGAGTGGCCTTGTACAATGATGTTGACCAAGAAGTTCATAATTTTGGGTGTTTAAATCGAGTTGCATATTGGGAAAATGCCGAGGAATATTATTTATTTGAAATAATATTAAGATTGTTTTTGGTATCTACGTCCTTTTTAAATGAAGAGAGCGCAGGCGGCTGACCGGCGCACACTGTGGTATTGAACCTGAAAAGCTGGCCAAAACTATTTATCACCAGATATCGCCGAGTTTTAAAAATATTTTACAATCAGTACTTCTTTTTAAGTGATAATATGCACAATTTATCCACCTAACACATCATATGACAATTTGCGGAGAGTTTAAAGAGGATGGAAGAAGCCCTCCAAAAAGCCTTTAAAAGGACGCAAAGTATCTGACTAAAGCGGTGCATTTAGACGAGTTTCTCCTTCACCTGTGGTCCAATTTTCGCAATAAGGACTCTCTATGACCTCATTAATGGTTTTTTTATGAAACAGCGTAAGTCCTTTCAAAATTTTTGACGAAACAGCCGATCTCTCACATTGAGGAGTAAATGTACATTTCTCAAAAAAATTAATATGAATCACTCTAGATATTAGATTTTTGACTGTATTGAATCAAAATTAGTGCTAGTATGAAAGTGCCGGGACCTCCATATGATGATTTGAGGATAACTTATGGGATGAAAATCAGTTTTATCAAAATAAGAACCATTGTGAGGACAGAAAGCACCTATGAAAAGGATTCATTTTGATGGGTTCCTTCCTAACCCATGATCTACATCTCGAAGTGAGGGCACTCCATTAACTTTGAAGTTGCCTTTTTTAATATAAAACAGCGTAAGTCACTGCGAAATTCGTGACAAAACCACATATCTCACTTATCGAGGGCCAATTGTATTTTTTCTTAAAATTTAGGTTGATAATAATGGAAGATTTAGTTCTAATGATGTCCCTTTACAATCTGCTGCCTGAGGAAAAACCGTAAAATTACTTTTACGAGGCTTCAAAATGTGCCTCTCAGCGTAATTTCATGGTGCCAGAGGGCCACTTTCGAAGCCCCACCCCACGGCCGGATGGCCTCAAATTTGTCTGTCAAAGTAAAACATGGCATGAATATGTCTATACTCAAGGATAATGCACGAAGAGATCGTTAAATAACGGATTAAACTCTTTTGCAAGACTTTAAAATGACCCTCCCTTCCGCTTTCAAATTATTTTTTTCATCCCTCTTTCGGGGGCGTAGGGGCCAGAGAAACAGGTTTTGTGACCAAATATCACCCAATTTCGTACTAAATGGGTCAGAGGTATTGGAAAAATACAATTTCAGTCGTTAGTATCGACATAATTTTTCCCATTCATGTTTGTGAAAATCGCTCAAAAGTCCATGTTTGAAGTCAAAAATTTCAAATTCCTCAGTTTTCCTCAGTCTGTCGACCCTGAATCCTGAAAATACCCACTTCGGACTATAACATTCCGCCTGAAACCGCTTGAGAATAGTTGAGAGAAATTTTTAATCGGACTGTGAAATTCGAAAAAAACGTTTACTTTTACATCACTTTTCAACCTCCTGTGAAAATCACTAAAAAAGGAAATTTCGAAAATACTGTGGTTAGTTGTGTAGAATATACCCTTAAGAATGTGTTGCATATCGCCGAACTTCCCTCCTATGGTCGCACAGTTGAAGTAAACTGATCGACGAGTAGCGCGTTAAAACACATCAAAAACGCTGAGAAATAGGTAACTTCGTGGTCTCTTCGCGGGAAATTGAGCCACTCGAAAAATGGCACATACATGGCTACTGGGGTAAAAAACAGTGTAGATTTCGAATATCACATTGGTTTTCCAAAAAAAAAAAATTTAAAATTGAGGTTTTGGCCAGGTTTTTCGGTCAAATACCACAGTGTGCGGCGCTAGCCGCTGAAAACGCTCCAGAGAAGAGTCAAAAAGTGGTCAGAAAAGCTCGTTTTTGACCAGTTTTTTACTGTTTCTCGGCTCAGGAAGCCTCAAGAGTCGGGACCGTGCGGAATCGATTCTACGTTTCCAGCAACGTAGGATGCGACTGAAATCTCGAATATTTTTCTCCGTCCCAAATCGAGAAAAATCGTCACGGATAACATGGACTAAATTTTTCGGGTCAAAATGGAAATTTCGCCGATAGGGTCGGAACCAAGTGAGCTCGCTTGGAATTGACCCTTGACCGATTTCTGTATCGAATGTGAGGTTTTTTTCCAAACTCTATCCTGCTTTCATTTCTCTGAATTTTGCCGATTTTT